TTCTCCAACATATAATAGATATAATAGCTTATTAAATAATTCATAATTTGTGCTTACCATTAATATTAAAGTGCAGATTGTACCGTTTTTACTTATACTCACTTTAACCGATGATCTTTTATGATTTCAAATTTTGACCTTAGTACTTTATTGCTGTTTTTGCATAGGAATTTTTGGCCTAGATGATGAAGAGTTTCAGGATACCTCTGGTAATCGACAAGCTATGCAGAGCATGTTTCGTACCGTCGACGCCATTGATTACAGTCTCATTGCCTCAGTAGACGTTAGGCATCGTATAGAACAATTGGCTCTAGATAATACTGGCCAGACGTTGGCGCTGATCGAACGTATCGGGAGTGGAGAGAACAGCACAAGCGAGCCTGTGACACATTGCCGCCTGTATATGGTTGGCAAAAAGAGAGTAAATACTTGCTGTCCAACATCACTTTTTATTCAAATATTAAAATTAGTTACCATGTTTTTTGAGCAGATCTATCCTCTATAATATACGATTTATATGTTTAGGCCATATTTTTACTTGCTGCTATATCCGAATCGTAAATCGTCTACATTGTCATCCAAATGGTGATTAATTTCCTTAATATACATAACTTTTCTACCTTTCGCAAACTATGGATATTTTATTTGGTATTAAATAGAGTTTCCAGACTAAGAGCAATTCAGTAGTATGAGATGTATTTAGCATATTTTGTTTAAGGTGATGAAGGATTGGTAGTAGAAATTTCCCGCAAGGATATGAGCAGAGCTGACGTTCCCATTGAATTTCATATAGCCTTGCTTTCCCAAAAGTTGTTCTCATCCAGGCTGGACTGAAGCTTCGACCTCGCCTAGATCTTATCAACACTCCAAGCGGGAGTCGAACCAAGACGGTGCAGCATGTGAATATGACACGTTAACCACTCAGCCACATTTTCACGAACCTCCTTGGGTCACAGGGCAGATGTCAATCTTAAAGAAGGCTTGGCCTTTGACCATATTACATTCTTTAGTGGGATTGTCGATGCAGCAAATGTATTTTTAATATAACAATCGTCTACGTTACTTATTTTTCGTATGTTAGTATTACTGATTTACTGGTAGTCTCGAAACTCTACTTGCATACGAGAAGCAAGTAATGTAGTCCTAAATTTTCCTTTTTATATACCTTTCTTCTTATAATGCACTATTGAGCTTAGCTAATAAATCTCCTGGAGAAAAGCTTCTCTCTTGATTACACTTCCAATGAGATAGTAAACCTTTCATTATAATTAAAACTAAATAAGATGTTAACCGAGTTCGGGATATATTATTTTTAAAACTTTATGGTTTTATATGTAGACCTGTCCTATGTGCCACTTAAAATGTCCCCTGAACGATGACTGGCAGTTGAAGAGGTAATTTACATCTGTTTTGATAATGACTACATACAAATGTCTTATTCATTTTCAAACTAAATGAGAATTAATAATGATTTATTACGGGATTGCTAGAAAATCATCCTTTCTTGATATAGATTATCATTGAGCATATGATTTTCGAAAGCAGGGGTAAGATCACGATTACTACTAAATATTAAAAACTGCGTTTTATCATACACTGGGAGTGATTTCAATTTTTGCTTAAAATGTTGTATGTTTTTTATTACATACAAATTATATTCATCTTAGGACGAGCGTGAACAAGATGAAAACCAGGCGGATGCTGAGGATGATGATGATGATGACGACGACGACGACGATGACGATGATGATGACGATGATGACGATGATGATGATGAAGAAGAAGAAGTATATCAGGTTCCCGTGGAAACTGCTGCTGAAGGAGCAAGTACTGAGTCACGGTCTAGGCGTGCCGCAAGTAGAGCAGCTGAATTCTCCTCATCTTCTGACGAGGACCCTGATTTCTTATCTAATCCAAGCAGTGCCACTAGTGGATCCACTACCTCAGTGAGTAGTGATGATGATGATAATGATGATCTGGACAACAGTCGTGATGATGATGGCGCTGGTAGTCATGGCTCTATTCGCACTAGTACGCCGAACTCGTCTTCCTCTTCATCAGTTCAAGAACCAGACACAACTCGGCGTCGGCCTCGTCGGCGCATCAATATCCATCTCCGATTGAGACGAAGATAATAGATCATTTATATGCCACTATTTTTGTTTCTTTACGACACTACATGGTCCGTTCGCTAGTGTTACGATAAGCCAAATTAACTTCTCACGCCCGGGTTTTAAATAAGTTGAATCAAGCTGAATAAATATTCTCAATGCAATCTAGCTTCGGTACATTTTTTGTTTTAACGCCAGAGCTATATCGACTTTGATTCTCATTGATTTGGCAGGGAATCAGAATTAAATTGCTGCCAAATGACGGTGCCATTCGTTATATTGCAGCCTAAATTTCTTTAAGATAATCTGTTTAATATTAGATACTTTCTTTTTATTATTATTTTGCTCCATTCTTTATACAATGTAAAACACGGTTGGTTAAATAATGAATATTCACAATAGACAATTAGCAGGCGCATCTATAGATTTACATATTCCCCTTTGTATTCTTGAACTTATTTCTGGAAATACTTTTCTGAGATTATTATCTTTGCACATCCTCTTTAGAGTATATTATTATGAAATATTTTTAAAGTTTCTTATATATGGTTAAATAGTCGCAATCTTAGCCCGAAATTCGGTGCTATAATGTTCCCTAAGCCTGAGGTATGATTAAAAAATTTCAAATCTCACCCAGCCCAATTTGTTTCTAGTCTTCCATAATTAGATTATGAGCTGTTGCGATTTTAGATGTTGATATAATCTGATTTATTGTATGAAACTAGACCATTATTTCTTTTCATGTATGTACACGGTATACTATTCAAAGACCGATAGCTAATACTATTCGTTAAATTTTCTAGGATTTCCAATAGCTTTAAAGATATCTCCTATATCAGCTTGGCTTAAGTTAATTAATTCTTTATGACCATTTATTGGTAGTTTAGATCAAGTGTCCTAGATTTTCTCATCAGACATAGGCTATAGAACATTTTAACAGCAACTTTGATACATTTGCTAAATCTAAGTTTA